TCGTATGTAGCATCAGGCTTTTGCCACAGTTTCCATGGTAGCATACGTGCGCGATCTCTCCAGACAAAGACTACATCATGCGATTCAAGCCCAGGAGTGGAGGCGGCGCCGGGTAATCTTCGATTACCATAATTTCCAGTTATTTTCAAAATCTGGGTGAAAGGGGGTCCAGTCCTGCTAGTCGTGTCCGGAAAATGTCTCCTTCCATGAAGGGACCCGGAGAAAAGTCCAGAAATCCCGCGGGATTTTTGCGACTCTCCTTTGGCCAACACACGGTACCAGGGTACTTTATGTTCAAGCAAGGCGTAGGTGTAGGTGAAGGGGGAGGGAGATGGAAACACTCAGCGTACGCACAATAGTATTGTACCATTTCGTAATATTGCTGCCCCGATGGATTTGAAGCCGTCAATGCAACTATCTTTCTAAAGATGATTGAGGATCGATAAAACTGCACGGCCATCGTTCGTATGTGTAGTGCAGTCGACACTCAATAATATCTATTGTTTTCTATCCGTGTACTTTAGAAGCATCCCAAGAGGAGCCTGCACAAAGTTGCGGGGCGCAATCCAGCTCAGTAAACACATATTCTGGAAATATAGCAGAAAACAAGTGAAATGCGTTTCGCTTCGAAGAACAAACACAAAAAAAACACTAATCTACACTGATCAATAGAGCGATCGAAATCCGAAACTCCGCCACTACTTCAAAAGTAGCCCATGCAGTCTCTCACAACTCCTGTTGATCCACGCTAGAATTCCCACGTCGAACTGAGAAGGACTGACTCGTCGAGGATCATAAGCAATGCGAATGCTTACTGAACTATGTCCCGAAGTAAGCTTACTTGCTCTAGTTTTGATCGGGAGGAGCCTGCGCTTGATCGTTCTCATACGTCTTGGCAATATACGATAAGAGAGGAAACTCTTTATCAAGATACTTGTTGCCCCGACTTTGAACTTGTCCTTGGTCTTCAAACAGGTGGCTTGATTGTGAGATTTGACATTGTGTCGTTCAGTTTTCAGCTTGGGCACTTACCAGGTTTCTCGCCGTAGACGTTGTAGATCGCATCTACAACATCCATACCACTGGGTGCCGGCACGAGAGAAGAAGCAGAACAAAGATATGTTAGGTGAGAAATTTGAAGGGCAGAACCGCCATTCTACAATATGTTGTCTCACACAATGACCTCGCCAATCGGAGCAAAACCTTGCTTGTCAAGAAATGCATTTCCATCCGTCCGTGTGTTGATAAAGAGCTGGCTTGTCCTCGAATTTTTCCCCGCCATTGCAAATGTGACAGTACCCCTTGAGTTTGTTTGCTTGACTTCGTCGTCTTTAATGCGGGATGGCTTTGGTTTCTTTGGATCCCCGTTGATGCCAAATTGAACAATGAAATCATCGACAACCCGGAAGAATTTGGCCTGATCATAAAACTTATCATCCATGAGCTCGTGAAACCTCTGGACACCAAGGGGGGACCAAGACGGTTTTGTTTCAATTACAATTTTGCCACTCTCTCCATCCTTTAAACTTGCCAGCTCAAGAGTGAATTTTCGCCCCGCGTTGGGGTCCTTTTGCCTAATATTATTGTCGAATGTTTCAACTGGATTTCGAAAGTCCCTTTCAACAGCATCTTGTTGCAATGACTGGGCCTTTCGACGATGTCGCAAGGCTGCTTTGCGGACACCAGGCAATGGATCGCTGTTAATGAGCACAGCAACGAAACCGCAGATGAAGATCAATGCTGCCCCCGCTTTCAGTAATGAGTACCGTTGCATTTTCCTTGTTACGACCTGTCGTACAGCTCCTTTCTTCACTTGTGTCATCGTCACTGATGGACAAATATGAACAATTAATGTGGCTATTGTACCTGGTCCTGTACTCAGCTGTGCCTAAAAGCTCCATGTCTGGACGTCGTCCGTAATCTATAAATCTACCGACATTGGCATGATGCATAATGAGTAAGGTACTGGTACCAGTACCAGGAAATGTACCTGGTACCGGTATTCCTTGCTTTCGGCTCGTTGAATGAAAGAAGATTCAGAATTGTGCTTATATGGGCTAGGCACGAAGAGCAAAAGATGAATCTTGCCGACTTTCATTTGTATTATCGGTAAACCTACGTACTCCTGATCTGAATAGGCCACCAGAGATTGCCCCTCCCTTCTACTTTGACTTCTCCTTCACCCAATTTTATTCCTTCCCCAGGCAGAGGTGCCTCTAGTAGTGCGTGCTCATTCGTTGGATGAAAATACCGCCAAGAATGAAGGAAGATCCCATGTGCAAGTCGGATAGGTTGCTCTTCTTTCCCTGCATTATTGGAATGTTTATTTGCTTGGCTAAGTAATTTCTGGCATTTGCCGCAATGTGCACAAATTTCGAAATTTTCCTGCAGCAAACCAGCAAACGTACTGTCGGTACCAGGATAAAGTGCTCGTTGAATGAGAGGATATCGGCAATCCTTGTTGCTCGCATTCGATTCCTTAAAACCGGAAACTCCGTTGATGAACACATATTCTCTCAGGAAAGCTTGATGTTCACCCTCGCTGATTCTTTCAGTGTGAATGGATGATTGAAGAGTTGTGTCAACTGGAATTTGTGTGATATTCTGTGAATCATCATTGGAAACGTTTGGCGGTCGAACTCCAGTTCTTTGGTACAATTTGTCATTTCTAGCAATATCCAGGTAAAGATCATCATTAGCTATTGTCGCGCCAATCAATGATAGATGGAAGCGGATTTGATGTCTTTGTCCAGACTTTTCAAGTGATATAGCAACGAGACTATAGCGACCATCTTTGATATTCATCAAAGGGTAGATACTGGTCTTGCAAACCAAATTATCATTACCGTCATCTCTTTTGCACCTTTCTTTCTTTACAAACGCCCTTGACGTTTTCGTGTTGAAAGCGAGACGTGGCGTCATTATTCGAATGGAAAAATCTTGTCTTGGAATGATGCCAAGGTAGACTTTCACAGTTTTCCTTGAGCCCACTCCGTTAGCACCCACAAATCCTCGCTTCTTCCTGTATGTACCAGATTTTCCGAGCAGAACAAGCCCGCTGACATCAAGATCAAGCCGATTGATAAGATCGCAGTACTTCCCTTCTCTGGGGTTTTCTTTGTCGGACGGTAGGCGGCACCAAGTCAAGATAGAGTTCCATTCATTGGATCCCAAGTCATTCCTTTCGCCCATTGACGGAATTCCAAAAGGTTTATTGACCGCCACGATGTTCTTGTCTTCAACAATAACGCTTGGAGGATATGGAACAACAACGCTTCGCGGGTGAATGTGTTGCCGCGATATTCGGATTTTCAGTCGAACTCCTTTAAGCCTTGCATCGTGACCATCTCCATTATTGGTCAAGGATTTTGGCCAAAAACAGGCAATAAGTCCAGATGGTACGACGGTATCAGGACGAGAGACTGTCTTGAAAGATGCATTGTCATCTTTGTCAAGCGGTGTAAAACTCTTTGATGGCTTTTGCAGTTCTGGGTACTTTCGATATGTTTTGTCACTGAAGATCAAGAGTACCGAAACCCTCTTTTCTTGCTCAATAATTGATCGCCAGTACGCCTCGGTTATTTCTCCTCCACGGCTACTGAGAAGCTGCCTTCGAAACATGTCACTCAAAATATCCAACAAAGTGGCTGGAGTGCCTCCACTATAGTACTTCGGCTTCACCCAGAATTCTTCATCCTTGTAGAACGGAGTGAAGTATTTCACATCTTTGTACACAAAGCTCATTTTTCATTTCCGCTTCCATCGGAAGAAGCATCGGATATGTTTGACTGCAAATCTTATCAGCATACTGTACAGTCTACCGGTACAGCAGTCGTCGCGTCGAGATATAATTCGTTGGTTGATCCATTCGACTCCAGTGAGCCATTTTTCCTCAGACTGCCAGTCACAAAGTGCATCTCTCGTTGTCAGTTGCATGTTGGTCCTTTCTTTTTGAGTCTGTCAATGAGCTCATGATGCTGCACAATGAAGATTCCAACTCACAGTTGCCCCCACCGAGCAATCCAATTCTAGACCGCTACCTTGTGTTCAGAAACGGGACTCCTTTTGTCACAAGATTGATGCTTTCTTCGCAGGTGACTTGCTACATCTTGTCTTTTCTTGTGAACACGCAAAAAGTTGCTGCAAACATTCCATACTTTACTGTCTACAACTTTCAACTTTATCGCATTCTTCTGAGTCCACTGTTATGCAATAGATTTGTCTCTCTTGTCATTGCATTTTTTAGTTTTTCAGAACCTGGCCGACGACTCGAACAAAGCGTCGGCTCTACATCTTTTCTTTGCCTTGTCACAACACTTGCAACCCTGACAAATGTTGCATACATTATCTTCGCCTTTCTTCTTTGCGAGCTGACGGGGAAGGAATCTTTTCTGTACCAACAGGCTTCTGGAATCTGGCTGGTGGTGTTTGGGATCATTGCAATTGAGTGCAACCGAGCTCCGCCGCAGTCGACTCGTAGACTATTGTTCTTTCCAGTCCAAGTGGAGTATTTCCCGTGCGCTTTATTTGCTTTCTTTTGCTTCTTTACTGGAACATTTGAATGGTCCCACATCCTCTCGATCGGAATTGGCTATGCCTACGAGTACGTTCCATATGATTGCATCATTGTCTACCTTAATTGCCGGCAACTAATAACGATAAATGTACAGGCACGGATATCTAGAAAGTATGAAGCCAGCCAGCCCGAGATGTAGGAGATGGGAGGAGAAGGGCATTTACGGCTTAGCAGAAAGCGATGGTTGGGTGAAGTTGGACCAAATTATTGGCAGTGGTGCATGGTGTGCAGATTCCAATGATCACATAACTAGTCAAGCTTCTAACGGAGGAAGACTTTTCTCCCAAGTGCAGAGACAGTATCAGAAGGTCTCGACAAATGTATTCTCTACAAGAGGAAGTGAGTCATCAAACTCACAGTCAATGAAATCTGAAAATGGTAGTAGTTCATCGTTTCCATCGACAGGTGGTCATGTCCTTGGTGGTGTGTCAAGACGGACAGCACAGTCCACGGTAGATCCAAGAAGAGCTAGACTACAAGCAATTGAAAAGAGAATGAATGAGGTCTCTGACCAGGGATGCTCTGAGGTCTGATTCAGGTACTCGTGTAGTCTCGAAAATCGAGTTTGTTTAATGTCTGGCCAGCGCGGGAATGTTATATTAAAATATGCCCTTCTGTAGATAATGCTATCATTCTTCTAGATAATTAGAGAGCCGTTTGAGTTTTTGCCGATCGCGTTCGCTTCCCTATAATCTTGTCCCTCACAAAATTTAAATTGAACAACGGCGATGCACAGCATTAAAACCGCTGCCATGGAAGATGGCCACGGACATGTGGAGGTCCAATCAATATTGAGACTGCGTCCTATGCTAAAAAAGGAACGTGAAGAGACCATTCTTCTCGAAGTGCAGAAAAATACATCGAGAAATGCACCTCCAACCGTTGTATTGAACCCTCCACGAATCTCTTTGGCATCGCCGACAGCTGGGCACCCCCGTGCCCGTAGTGAATCGGATGGAACCATCCACAATACTCCAATTGACTTTCATTTCAATCATGTTCTTCCTGAGACTGCAAGCCAGGACAAGGTCTACTACACCCTTGGACTGCCAACTGCAACGGAAGCTATGAGCTCGCTGACAAGAAATAGTTCCAATAGACCCCAAGAGCCCAACAAGAACCACTTGTTTGTATCTATGGGAATCACTAACTCTGGAAAAACTTATACCTGTTTTGGCGGAACGAATATTCCTAAACGACGCGCACTACAAGATGGTCTTGTGCCTCGGCTGGTTGACAGTTTGTTTTCGCAGTCAAAGCACCATGTAAATGCGGATAGTCGAGACTTTTCGGTTCATATCTCAATGGTGCAGGTTTCACAGTCAAAGGGCAATGATCCTAAAAATTGCAAGATTTACGATTTATTCGGCATCACTGAAAAGAAGAAGGCGCCATCGCAAACAATCAAATCTGTCCGTTCAATGGCAGCTAAATTTGAAAAGGCTTTGCCATCAGTGGCAAGTCCAATGAGATCCACACTAGCGAAATCTTCCGATTTTGTGGAGCTTGATGCAGAAGAACCGCTCCCAAGTGTTGAAAAATGTTTCGAAGTTTCACAAGCTCGAGAGACCCTTCAGAACGGCCTTGATGCCTCGCGGAAAGCTGGAAAGGGAAACCAAAGCAACCATTTGCTTGTTGTATTGCAGCCGTTTCTGAACGGAAGTGAATGCGGTGACAAAATTGTTGTACTAGATATGGCTGGATTGGAAAAAGCAAAGAGGAACCAAAGCCGTCAAAAGGATGTTGTTGGTATGAATGAAGCTGCAAATGGCGCAGTCCTGAATTGCTTGCGGACAATGATACACAATATGAATATCACGACAGGAAAACGGCGCGCGATCGATGTTGCGGATGACACAGCAAGTGAAATATCTTGTGTCTCTCAAGAGAAAGATCCGTATCAGCAAAGTATGAAAACTGTTCCATTCAGGCAGCACAAAGTAACTATGCTCCTTCATCCTTTATTCAGAAACGAGCAGATGACAAAAGTCACTCTAGTAATGGCGGCATATCCAGGAAACTCAGATTATGTAGAGAAGAAATCTCTCCTGCAAGACATGGAGCTCCTTTGCGGTTCTTCGCTATTTGCTGCCGGTGCCAGAGTTTCGACGGGATTAGAACGCACTCTTCGCCAAGATCATTCAACGTTCACCGATACAGAAAGTGAATACGGAGATGATTCCACACTCCCACTAGCTAAGGAAAACATTGCCAGGCTCGGACACACTGAAAAATCTGTCCATATCCCAAGCTTCGATCATGAAGAAGGCGACATGCGTTCCACGACCCGTCCACCGGCCTTTGCTCCTTCTTACAGAGGATCGAGTCCTCTTGGAGGGATTCGACAAAACAATGATGACTTCCGTTCTGCTGCGCCAGATGCAGGGAAACTGCCGCCTATCTCCGATTTTCCAGGAGTTAGCATGCCGCACAACATTGACAAATCTCCAAATTTGATCCACCAGACCATGCCCGTGTCAATGGTCGGCGGACCAAAATCAAATTCACCTGCATACAGCAGTCGAAATGACGAAAGAACATTTCAGGAAACTATTTACCAGGGTGATTATCTTGACGAAAAACGATCCCCTCTAACCTCTCTCGATAACTCTAAGGGGAGAGACAAAAGAGTCCCGTCTTCGACGAAACAAACTGAAGCTAGCCCACAAAAGACCTCCATGAAGCCCAGAAAAGTTCACACTGTGGCTTTGCAGGAAAGGGTGGTGGTAAAGGAACACCGACAAAAGTCTCGTCGGTCTTCACAACCTGAATCGGCGCGAATCGATTCTAGTTCTAAGGGAAATGGCTCGCGCCAAAGTACTGGAGGTGACAAGGAAATGAGAATCAAACAAGCAGAATCGAAAATGAGACAGCTCCTACACGAAAAGCAAGCCATAGATGACAAAAACAAAGAGCTGGCGAGAGAAAACAGAGAGCTACGGTCCATGCTACAACAAGTAGGTCGCAGCAAGAGGTCGTGGTCGAATAAAGATGAGGAGGAATTTCAGGAGAATCGAAAACTTCGACTAGAAGACCAAACACTCGTCAAAGCTCCCCTCTATGCACATTTGAAGAAGGTTGATTACATCTACGACATTAAAAATCAATGGGCAATGAGTGACAAACCGCAGTTTAACCTTCTGTTCCCAGCCCATTTCCAAAGAGCACCGGATCTCGACACTCGGGACAAAATAATCGAAGAAAGAGAGGCCGCAATCATGGAAAGACAGGCGACATCTTCCAGTGCAAATCGGAAGGAGAGAAGGTCTTTACTCAGAAGAAGTGGACTCTTCCCTCGACGATTGTAATTTCTACTCGAGATTCAAATAGATAAAATGAATTGCCATTATTATTATTATTTTGAACCGGAACGGAAAAACATTAGTTGCTCGAGGAACTGTCGAGCACATGAACATGTAGACGATATCTTCAGAGCTTTGCACTAACGAAAAAGTGCCAATACCATTGCGAGAACTTGTCTTTGCATTTCTCACGGTGTCATTGCGAGAACTTGTCTTTGTGCATTTCCTGCGCGACTCGTGTTGTTTTGGAACGCTCGTGGCCTTCTCCAAGCATGATATAGAGCTACAAGGAAGTTTCGGTGATTCCTTTTTTTCTATGCAATGGTTATTTCACAGTTTGGAAGGGTTACTATCAATTGATACTGATATTTTTTTAAATGACGACAGAATATTCGGCATCAAGTTCATCTAAAACAGGTGCCATTTGGACTTGATCTGGTGATCTTGGGTTGTCGTTTTCAGGTTTTCGTAAAGATCCGTTTCCGGAGTCTCCGAGAGCTTGTTGATTCATTTTATCCCAAATGATTCCATTACACTCTCGGTGCAAACGACTTCCATCCTCTTCTTTCTCAGAAAACCGCAGTCTATTACCAATTGCTGAAGGCGACAGTGTGGAGATCGGAAGTGCTTTGGTTTTGCGGTTCACGCAAAGTGGACAAAACCAATCACCTTCTGGAATTTCGGCAAGTGGTGGTTTAAGACATCCCAAATGATAAGCTCTCTCGCATCCTAAATGTGAAAATCTTAGATTTTGTTTTTCATCGTTCGCACGTCCTCGAAAGAATTTACTCACCATCACAAACGAGAAGATCACCGCCATCATTACAAATAAAACAGAAGTCATTCTTCCATTCGGCTTTCAATGTTGGATAATGCGAATCCACTCTCTTCCAATTATAGTAGTGGATCAGAGAATCTGATTTGCTGCGGTTTATTTTTTCTGCCAGAACAACGAAGTCCTTTTTTTCATTCATGAGAAACGCTTTGAAAACACTTGATTGTTCTTTTGATAGCTTCGACGACGGCTCCCCTCCAAACGCCCTTATTCTTCTGTATTCTGACTCCGCCATAGCAACATTGTAGTCATAGAGATGCAAAAGGGTCATCAGGCATTCTTTCTTGACAAGTTCGCAGTTGATATTGAGAAAACCGTCAATGTCCTGCCCTTGTCTTTCAGCTGCGTCTGCCCGATACGGGTCCCAGAGAGTATCATATTCTGGCAGGTACCCATCACCAAACTTGTCCCTGTAGTCTTTTGGGGATTTTGATACTCGAGCTTGATAACTGTGACCAACCCGAGACGCCGAATCTCCTAAATCTGGTTCAATAGGAATGGATTCATAATGAGGGCGAGACTGTTGTTCTTTTGTGAGTACGGCTGATTTAGAGATTCGAACCAATTCGTCAAGATATCCTCGCGGAGATCGATTGAAATCTAAGAACCGTTTGTTAAATACAACATTGGAAACGATTGGATGACTCTCTGGCTTGCATTTTTCTTTTTTCCTTTTCGAATATCGTTTTGAAGTAGCCCCAACCCTAGCTGATGAAAAAAGGGACTCTTCAAACCCTTGCTCCGGTACTGGGCGGATGGCTTCCCACAGGTCGCTTGCAGTTTCAGGGACACGCGATGCCTCCAGGGCCTCAACGTAACTTCGCTTACTGCTTACCCGCTGCGCCCTCTTCGGCCTCACTTGAGTGGCATGTGAAGGCATTGATGATAAAGTGGGATCAACTCCGATATGCTGCGATCCATTGTGAATAATCCTATCTGTAATAGCACTCCTTTCATGGTGCGAGACTTTGGCAGACCATTTCAGTTGTTCCGCTCTCTCGTTTTCGTCCTCTTGTGACGTTTCATCAATAGTCTCCACAGCGCCGGCCAGTGGCTTCAACGATTCAGATTCGGTTTGAAACCGCTTTTCCCATCGCATTGCTTCTGCCCCCTCCGTGGTATCAGCGACATTTTCCAATGTGTCCATCGCTGGCTTCAACGTTTCTACCACGGTACCAAGAGACTCATTTTCGTTTTCTGTGGCATCATTGTTCTGGGATTGTGACTCTAAAACAATTGTGTGCGATTCTGCTGTGGTATTTTTGTCATTAGTATGATCTTGAATGTCGACTGATGCTATGTTGGTAAACGTTTCGTCGTCAATCAGCTCGCGATTCGTTTTCGATTCAAGAGTCTTGTTCGATTTAGCTATAAGCATGACAGCTTGGTCTACATCTTGAATTGCACATGTATTGTGTTCCACGTCATTGCCTGCTGGGCCCGATGGCAGCAACCCTTGTTCAGCACTGATTTCATCCATCACAACACTATCGTATTTGCGCTGTTTCGAATTTTAAGGATGTATCCCTCTAAGCTGTTGCAGCGACCACCGACTTTGTTCTTGAAGTGGTTTCAAGTGCAGAGCAACGAACGACGAGACTTGTTCCGTCTCTCGCAACAACTACGAAAGTCCTGGTTGTTGTTGCTTTTCTTGAGGTTGGCCTGTCTCGATCAACCGGACTGGTTATTGTTAAAAAAACTGGACTCTACAGTACCCAACCGACCGTATAGAAAGGTTGCGAAAGTGAAGAAGAATTCCGAATTCCGGTAGCCAGCAAAGAACTTGAATGAAGATCTGACGCGTATGTAGCTACCATACGTGAAGAAAGTACTGAACTTGGAGAAGCTGTGAACACCGGTAGGCGCCAAACTGAAAAGACTTTAGAGTTTCGGCAAGAAACACACAACTCGATCCAGATTGAACCTTGCGATTGAACACTATCGGACCCCAACATAGCGTAGAAAACTTTAACTCGCCTGGGGGGATAGTGATTTATATAAAAGGAATCAATAAGAGGAATCAGGAGTTTGCAAAAATCATGGATTTTTGACGTCTTCTCAATGCGTTATCGCCAAATGGGCGGGCTTCTAGACCCCCAGTAGAAACAGTCAATTCAGACCTATCAAGTACCGGCCGGAGCCGACAGAGAGGCAGCGTGACCTCCGGACACTCAATTCCTATTCAACCAGAAGCCGTTCATCCGTGGCTGGCGTGCCACGAGTCGTGGAGGAAATTCAAACTGAAATGAGCGATTTCCGAAGCACTAATGATGGCGAAATCGATTCAGACTTTGATACTGGCCTCTCTGAGGGGAACCAACACGAAACCCCGGAGAAGCACCACCAGACACTGAAGGAGCAGAAGAGGATCCCAAAGAAATCTGGGACGGAACCGAGCCAGCGATTGAGGATCTCATCCATCTGGACAATACTCACTGTAGAGCCAACTTCATCGGGCCGACAGTGGAGACAGAACACAATCTCTTGGTCTGTGGAAAGGCAACCCAACGTTGTCGAGAACACAAGGAGGAACGCAAAGTGAGCAGAGCAGAACCACAATGGCTTCTACGAGTTGAATCTGCACATTTAGATAAGAATGGGGAATCCGTCTTCCATGGTAAACAAAATGGATTCCGATGCTCCAAGGAGAAGATGGAGGCGCGCCTTTGTCTTGATCATGTCAGGCTCTTGGACGACGATTATCCACAAAGCAGTGGAGTGGAAGAGAGCGAAGTGGAGTCAGAAAGAGAGACAGACGAATATCAGTCACGCATGGATAAGATTGCGGCAGAGATTGCAAGATTGGAACAGGAAGCTCTTTTGACAAAGCTCAAGGCCGAGCAAGCTCTCTTGGAAAAAGATGCCTTCCTGGCAGGCCAACCATCTCAAAAGTCACCCTCCAAGAGAAAGAAGAAGACCCGATCTACGCCCAAGAAACCAACACCAACCGCCAGCTAGAAAAATCCCACCAAAACAGCCAACAAACAAGTAACTATTGGTGAAGAGCACAATACGATGAAGTCACCACCCAGAGCCACGGTAACAGGGACGAACCATCACGCTCCACCAACACCGGCTGCAACCAACAACAATGGGAATCAAGACACAAGTCAGTTCATCCTCCAGACAATCCTTCAGTTGACCGAGCCCATGATGAGACAAATGCAGGCAACTGCGGAACGTCTTGCACAAGTGACAGAACGACTTCAAGAAAAGGCGGCTAACCCACCACCTGAAAGCCGCCCAAGGACCACCACAAGACAGCTGGAACCCGACCTCCATGGGGCACGCGACAGACCCATTCAATACAACCAAGGAGCAACACCCAACGGAGGAGAAGACGAAGTCCCAAGAGGCCCAAATGGAGAGATCCTCATCAACCAACACAATCCTCTCGTACGCATCGGGCAAGTGGATAGCTCAAAGGACGACAAGGACAAAATTCACGGCCTTTCCATATTCGACAGTCAGGTTGACAGGGCAATGATGCCAGAAGCTTTACTGAGGAGCCAATACAACAAGGGACTATACGATGTAACGAATGATATTGCAAGTTTACCAGGTACGTGCTCACCAAAGGGAGGAGGTGGTGATGTGGACGTGAATACGGACACTACGGACATTATGCAGCAGTTCTTGGAGACTGTGGAATCTAGCAAGAGCCCCTCCATGAAGACTACAATCACCGCCATCCACTACCCCAAGACTTCTAGACACGGGCTGTCTTTAATCAAGTCCAAAGCCGACCTCTTCAAAGCGGCCAGCACTATTGCAGAAGACAAAGAGCTCACCTCTCGCAACCAACAACTCCGCATCCAATCCTACCTACATGACCGGGGATATATGAAAGGCTTCATTGACAATTACTTGGAACGAAGTCTACTCTGCCTCATTATCCAAGAGACTCTGACCAACTACACCGCACTCATCAACAAGATCCGGCAGAAGAGAATTGATGGCATGAGCGATGTGTGGAAAGGGTCAGAAGCCTACCTCCTGCTCTCCCACCACTCCAAGGAACTACTGAGAATCCGAGTCCACTCCACCAGCAAAAGACTATTTCAGAACTACATTTACCTTCGTGATGCCCAAGCAAAGAACTTCAACAGCAACAAGATCACGGAGAAGACCATCACCAACGTCAGAGAAGAGAATCGTCTCTTCCAAGAGGCCCTGGATTCCCGATTGGAGGCACTTGTGGAGGAGAGACTAGCAGAACATCTTGCCAAGAACAAGAAGGGTGCGGGAAAAGGCAACGACGAACCCAAATGCTCCTGGTGCCACAACAGGGATCTACACATTGCTCTAGGAATCAAACATACTCCAAAAGCCTGTCCCCTCAAAAGCCATCCAACTACCTGGGCCAAGAAGGCCTGCCGAAAAGTCCTCCAAACATACAAAGCAGATCCCAAGCGACCTATTGCGGCGGAGATCGTAAAGGAAGTATTGGAGGGTTGGAAAAAGGAATAACCAGCGTCCGCAGCGTATCGGCCCTGAGAGTAGGGAAGCATACTAATGGCCCACCTCAGGAAGACACACACCACATCACATTTGTGAGTCGGGAAGCTTACTAATGGCCCACCTCAGATCTACATGTACATCACACAACCACATCACATCCTATTCCCAAGGAGGCGGCCAACTGAAGAACACGAGCCACAGACCACATCAACCACACCATCATCAACCATCTTTGCCTGTACAACATCCAATTTGTTATAACTGACCGTTCTTTCACACCTTTACTATTACCAGGTGAGCAAAGGTGTAGCGTTGACGATGTTACGGCAGGAGTGATGGCAGGAGTTGAAAGACGGAGAGTGGCTACGACGGGTTTGTTAGGACTGAGAACTATGGGAGTAATAGGGGGCGGATGTGAACTCATGCAATATGCATGGCCTAAGTTGGACCTATTGTTCTCGATCCGACACAAGGAGGAGACAATACCAACAGACCTTGTGGATCCACCATTGGTTTGACTCAGACCACACCGCCCATGGTTGGGCCTCCTGGAGAAGAATCATCCGGTGGATCTACTAATTATTGAAAAAGGAAACCACAAGGTCCCAACGTGAGGACCTCAACAACAACCTTGAGAAGACATGGTTGCCTTCGTGTCTTGCAAGCAAAGACCGACAATTGCAATAGAATCCTGGAGAACGGATCCGACTATATGGCAGTACGGGCCTACCAGCAAAGCGTCTACTAAAAGATGGAAAGAACTCCGGTACCAGACAAACTGTCGTGCCATCAATGCGACCGCAGTGGGAGGGGCCATCAACCAATCCCGTCTCTTGGTCATCCGAACGAAGATTGAATCTGAATTGAACTGGAAATGGGACAGCTTGGATTAGGACCTCTCAGTGATCCGACCAATGAGCAACCTTCTGACCCCGCCGGGTCTAGTGTCCAAACGAGCCTACTCTCAATGGCGAAGCCCAAACACACCGAAGGCCTTCAGTGATCCAATGCCCCATCAAATCAGAGCCTGGATTGAGACAGAAAAGGGGATCCGTCGCTTGTTGAAAGACGAACTGGCCCGAGGCCTTGGCATCCCAAAGGGTGCTGAAAAAGGACTTTCCGTTCACAGCCTTTGTCAAAGTACATCGCTGTTTCACTGGGAGTATTTGTCATACTCCATGGAATGCCTCAAAGACCATGGGACACCTGGCTCGGATCATGGCCCCAGGCCCACTTCTACCAATGAGGAATCCGCCTCTCCCATCACCATTGAGACGGACTACTACGCCTAGCTATACATCGGGACAACTACACAGACGAAGGCCCAGACCCCAAGAAACTGCAACTTTTATGGTGGGAGTTCCCGGCCGAACATTGGGAAGAACTCCGTTGAGGGGCGCGACAGAATTTCCTACACACCCCAGATGTTGTGCGAGGTCTATCCTGGTTCACCGTATGACATACAGACACCATACTTTCCATAGATCTATTCACTATTTCTCATTCATCTACATTTGCATTGCATTAGGATTTAGTCATATCTGCTAGTACGACAGGTTATAAAGCCCTTTGTAACGCTACTGTCTGTCTGCGCCAACAAGCTACTACAACACCAATACTCCCTCGCCAGTGCAACTCACGAATTGCATACACCAACTTCAACTTCGCAATTTCCTTCATTCCCACATCAACTGTTGATTGTTCTGGAACATGTCCAAGCCCAACGACTTCAGTCCCTTGGAAGCACCAGAAGCCTGCATCCGACCCAATGCACCCATGGACGAAGAGATGACGATGGCAGCGGTGGAATTTGTTAACAAATTGGTGGACCTCGGGGTTCTCAGAGACATCGACAAAGGTCGCAAAGTTCTTACAAACGCACCATTGTTCGTTGTTAGCAAGGACGGTCAGCCGGGGCAGTGGAGAGTCATTGCCGACATGCTACGTGGAGGTCAAAACTATTGTGTTGGACAGGACCCCGTCTTCATGCCCAGGACCGCGCACATTGTTGACCAAATGTACACTGGAGGATATTCAGCAGTGGTCAACCTCTCCAAGTTCTTCTACAACTTCCCAACGCACAAGGAAGATTGTCCGTACCTTGGACTTTTGCATCCACGCACCAAGGAACTCCTTGCTTACTGTGGCCTGGCAATGGGAGCAAGAAACAGCCCAGCTATTGCATGCCAAATCGGACTTGCGTTTGTCCGCTTGGTCAAGGAAAAGTTTGCAGTGTTCAAAGGAGCGGCGAAGGCTAACTGCTATTGGACTGGTCTACGAGATAATGGATTTGACCCAAAACTTGGATATAGTTTTATTCTTATGGGACAAGACGGCGGCGCGGTACATATTTGGGTCTGGGTCGATGACTTCCTCATCCATGGACCCTCCCACGAGAAGACGGCACAAGGCCTCCAGTTCTTCCTGGATACGGCAGTGGATTGTGGATTCCTCTTTCACCCTAAGAAATTGGTCCACCCGAGCGGGACCGGGCTTTGGCTATCTGTAAATACCTGATCCAGTCTCCCCTCCACAAAAAGTGGTCCCGTTTGGGCCTGGCAGTGGCAGTTGGAGTCTTGGAGTCCCTTACTGAAGCAACTCCCCGATGACTGGGACACACTCATCTCAAGGAGTTTCACACTCTGTCCCACCCACCGGGCCTGGGAATTGGAGCAGAATCGTACTACACAACTACTGCCCTCAATTCCCTAGTCCTGGACGAACTCAGATGGTGGAGACAGTACCTGATTAAAAGCGAGAGCCGCTACGTCCGAGGCCGCAGTGCAGCTACACTGGTCCCAACCTTTGGCGACGGTAGTGGTACATAATAATAACGGAGACATTAATCGTTAGGATGCTACTCTATGGGAATTCGATTGCCGGTGAATTATTCGGCTGTAAAGGTCAAGTACTGTGGAGCGGTGAGTCAACAACAAGTTTGAACCATGGGAGGCATCTGTACCTATACAGAAGTTGCTCAAGTCATGTCGTTAAGAA